GTGGTGCTGGGGGATTGAACCGTGGTCCCTGTGCTTTGCTAAGCTTGTTCTAAGTAGGTGCTTTAGACCACTGAGCCATCTCACCAGCCCCGATCTTTATTTTTAAATGCTCATCTCTTTAGGCTTTTTTGTGAATTTATTCCCTTTCTGTTATACCAATATCAGACATTTGTTTTGCTAACAGCTTGTAATATTCTTAGTATATCCCTAAATCCATCCATTTGTCTGTATATTAACCATTTTCATTTGGTTGAGAGGAGAAAGGACTTGCATATCTGTGTGGAAATAATCAAATAATAGAGTTACTCTATGATAAAAAGTTGACTTAAAGAACCCCATTCTCTGGAGACAATTGTTGGAAAGAAAACAGTACTGTGTTTTAATACTTTCCCTTAATTCTACTGTAAGGGATAAAAATAGAGAAAATAAAGTTTTTTTGGTTTTTGGTTTTTGATTTTTTGCAGAACCAGGGATTGAACTCAGGCCCTTACGCTTGCCAGGGAAGCACTTATTCCACTGAGCCATCTCCCTGGATTAATAAGACGCAGAGCTGGCCTTTAAAATCCAATTTATGTGGTTTCCTTTCATGAAAAGTGCTATATCTTTACTAGGAATTGGCAGGCAAGGAATGGTGCCATTATCAAAAGTTGTTGATAATAGGGCTAGTATAGAAGAAAGTATAGCAGACTACTTAAAAGAAGCTATAACTATGAAATATTATTTACCCATAACAAAGAATGAACTGTCATTTACAGAAAAGTGCGACTGTTTAAGTAGTCAAAAAGTTATATTTCATATAGTTTCTCTTATATGAGATTTCAAAAACGTAAATAGTAAAATAAAGGAGAGATGTTAGGCTACAAAATGCCCAACTTTCTGGAGATGGGGAAGGGGATGAAGAAAAAGGAGGAAGGTAGCAAAGAAGACTAAAGAGATAAAAAATACTCAAGATATATTACATTTATGTACCAATTCCTCAGTATGAAGGTAACTAGTACTGTAAATTATAAACACTAATTTTTAGAAATTAAGCTGTATCTAAACATAATATTTAGTGAGTCTGCTCATAACCATACATTTTATGAACTGGTGTCATTTTGTTGGTTTAGTGTTAAGGGCATGCTAGTTGTTACACATTTTTAATGTCACCGTAACTAAAGGTATAGGAAGGCAGTTTAGATTCTCAGAAGATCAAAAGGAAAGAATGACTTAGGGAGGTCATGGAAAAATTAGAAATTAGGCATACTCTATGATTTTTTTTTTATAGGTGCTATATGTACTGAAACCAGATCCATGTTTTTTAAAATGAAATAATAGAAATACAGATAGTAGAATACTTTTCTCATGTAAGATTATTAATAAAAACAAAATTACCGAAGTTGCTTGTCTAGCAAATTACTGCATAAGAAGAAAAGATGACTTCATGTGAAAGTGATTTCAAGTATTTGGAATTTGTGGACCACATGCTGTGTCTTCATGCACACCACTAATTTTGGGCAACACAAAAGAATAACCTAAAATTTCTTTATTGTAAGATCAAAACAGTATTTTAAAGTGACTTAAAAATCAAGACATGCCCTTATTGTTGCCTTGATATCTGATTTACAAAATTAAGATTTTAGACTTAACCATTTTTCTCCCTTTCTGGCTTTATTAAGTTAGATAAGCCCACCTTTAAGTTACAGATTGTTGGAAGGGCAGCAAGTATTTTGTCACTCTATTCAGTGTTTTAGATATTAAAATGGATGGACATTGCCAGGCAAGCTGGCACAAATCTGTAATTCTAGCTACTAGTGGGCTAAGATAGGAAAATTGCAAGTTCAAGGACAGTCTAGGCAACTTAAGTGAGATCCTGTCTCAAAGTAAAAAGGTCTGAGGTGTAGCTTGGTGATAAGGTATTTAATTAACATGCACAAAGCCCTGGGATCATTACCCAGTACTTGAAGGTGATAAGGGTATGGATACCAAAATTAATGTAAGAATTCTTACTGAAAACTACAGTAGATACTTGAGTTGATACATGTCAAGTGTATGACGTGCAGCAGGAAAGCTGAGTATTTCAGTTTGGGAGATGGCACTAGATAGATCTATCATTTGGTTGAATTCACTTCTAGGAGATGAATTTTCAGATTTAATGCAGTAGATGAATGTGGTATTAAGTATAGTCAAATAAAACATTCCTTGTACAGCAATGAAAAATGTGCTTGTAATGGTGGTACATGTCTGTAATAACAGCACTTGGGAGGCTGAAGCAGGAGAATCTCCATGAGTTCAAGACAAGCCTGTACTACATGGCAAGACTTGTCTCAAAAAAAAAACTAAAATATGCATAGATAATGTGGAAAAGAGCCAAATTTCAGTTAAACCATTTGTATCATAATTTGGTTCTCTATTTTATTTGTAAGAATTATTTCATGCCTCAGGTGATGGGTTCAGGCTCTTCACTGTAATGTGTTATGGATATATGGCACTTAAGTAAGCCACTTAAAATCATAGAAATATTTTTCTGACATCTGTATTAAATCTTTAAATTTAAATCTTTCACTTCCGTAGTTTTTGTAAGCATCTTTCCTCTTGAGAAGCAGACTGTTATTTGCTTCTTTTTTTTACATAATGTGCTAAAGATGCAGTACTTGCTCAAGATTTGCAATTTGAATTATATTGATAATTTTCCATGCTGTCTTTAACATTGACTCAAGAGGATTTATTGTCAAATGCCAGCTGTTTGTAAGAAGCCATTTATGAATGTTTTTATAGGCTCTTTCTTGCCTCACATACAGCTATTACTCTGACCATCTCAGTATATCTTTTCAAGTCAAAGTTCAAAAATAGTTATTTAAGAAAGATCTTTTTTAGATCTCATCTTTCTGTTGATCGTTGGGATTAAAAGTTGCCTATATTTCTTAATTACATTTTATACATGGATGTGCTAAGACTTGACTCATATTCTATGCATTAGTGATTTCATGTAGCCACTAAATACTGGAGTATATACATCTGTGATAGTAATTGTTCTTCCTTGCTGTATAGCACACATAATATATAATGTCCATTTCTGTTAGAATTTTACAAGTAAATTGTTGTGTTCCCTCAGAACACATTTGTCATTAATTTACATCTCACAGTAGTTACACCTGTCTTTGTTAAAATATGTTAAAGTGCCTTCGACTGTTGTTTTGATCTTTGCTTTTAATGACAAAATTCATAATGGGGACTCTGATATATTGGAGTGCTGGAAAAATGATATGAACACTTCTGTGATGTCTTGTCCCTATTTGTATATGTAATGTATTTCTGTAATATATTACAATAGGAACAGCATGTTACATTGAGAACAATGTTGTCTCCTAGTACTGGCTAATCACTCCTGATTCTCTACTCACAGCCCATTCTACCATCATACAGTCTTCATTTTAAGATTCATTCTATTAATATTTATGATACTGTGTTGTAAATATTTTTATTTTTAATGTATAGTGAATATTTTGAGCAATCAATTTTTTCAAATAGTCCGCATTTAACTATCCTTATATCCCATGGGTAACCCTAGGGTTGAAACATAATTAGGAACCTTAAATAATTTCTTCAACTTTCATCATTATTAATCTTTAAATTTGTGGATTGTTTGTTATCAAAACTTTTTCTTCTCCAGGGATATACTCGGCACAATGCCTGCCTGGCAAGTGCAAGGTCCTGAATTTGATTCCTAGTACCAAAAAAATGTTTTGCCCTTACACTCTGTAGACT